AGGCCGAGACAGGCTCGATGCCTGCGGCGCCAGGCACGAAAGGTCTTTGCTGGACGCAGGAACGGCGGCGGCGTGGGAAGGATCTCGCTGGTTTCTGAATAAAGATGGGGGTGGGCTGACGATGACATATTGGCGGATGACGCCGGCAAAGTGGATGATTGTTATTGTTCAACGCTCTTCCTCTCGCCGGGCAATGCTTGCCAGAGTCTTTACGACCAATGCTTGCTTCTGGTGACCCTCGAATCTTGGAAGATTGAAGAGTGCAAAGTGCCTTGAGAAAGTGTGAAGCTAGTTTGCTGTGCCCCATGTCTAGCATGAGGACTAGTGTAGCTTCCCTCCAAATGACCTTCCATCCTCGACGCTAGACGCAGACCAAAATTCTTCTAGCCTGCGGTGCGATCCTCACCGCGGAGGGAAGACCCTTGTCCATCCGTGCGCCGGGAGGAGCGCAGCGGTGGCCTGTCTTTGCCGATTCTTGGGAACGCCTAGGTAGACACAGCCCGGCACCAGCCCGCGAGCCCGTCCTCCCAATGACGCCGTCCGCTGCGTACGGCGGCACTATACGGTGGCTCGACGAGGCTGGCTAGTCTTCTCAGACTTTCTGGACATAATTCGACACTAGAAAGTTGGAAGGCTCGGGCCAAGAGCTGAGATGGCCTGATGTCCGGATTCATCCCCTTTATCGCGTCATCTGCGAATCTCCTCAAAGACTCAGCATGAATATTGACAATCTCGTCTCCGAGCAGAGACCCTCTGGAGACCGCCGGGAGGGCTCGTGCGAAAACGAAGAAGCGATCTATGCGTTTCTTTGACGAGGGCGCTTGTCGTTCATGTCGGACTATGATATGGGAGACGCGGTTATAGGGTCTTAAGAAACCGCTACTATTGAGGCGTGCGCCCCCGGGTGTTGTTCCTGACGTAGTAGCTGGAATGCTCACCGTTGCAGAGGTGTCAATGGGCGCAGCCTCCGCTGAAGATGAATAAGCCCTCGCTACAGCAGGGACCGAGGGGTCAGCGAGATTGCTGAAGCACAGGTGCCAGTCAATGGAAGGGGGATCCCATCCGCCCGGCACGAGGTCCGTCTCTTGTTGACCGTAAGAAAGTTTAAGCAGGCAAAATCCTTGCCAAACTCTAACAGGGGGTCTCGCTGTTGGTCAGGCTGGTCATGTTCCTGCAGAGCCGATTCAGGACCACACTCACCGTCATTGGCAATTGCTCCTCAGAGCGCCCAGCGTTCCCTGCACTGCAGAACCTCAGACGATTCATTGGAGGAGCCGAGGGGTGAGTGAGGGTGTGCAAGAAGGAAGAGGTGCACCTGTGCTTGGCTGTACTATGCAGTATATCGAGGGGTGGATGGTGATCTCTGTTATCTTTCCTAGCCTTTCCCTGCTTGGTAGCGTCCGTTCTCCGGACTTTGTAACGTGCGACAATGCTACACGACCACGGCAGTTTGTCGCTTTGGGGAAGAAGAAGGGGTTGTGCGCCGTGCCGCCTTTCCAGCGTCGCGGTGGCGGGAGGGGAGAAAGGGGATTAGCAAGATTGTCACGATCCCAAGGGAGTGTTACGGCCCCATCGGCGCCGTCACGACGGAGAGTCCGTCGAACTAAAAACCAACGTTAGCGCCGGTCCCTTTACAATGGTAATGAAGACCAGCAGCCGGTGCGGGCCCCCGTTGGACCGGGCCATCTTTCGACTGGGAGTCCCTTTCCATCCTTCATGCTGCCCATCAACACTTCTGCCGCTTCTGCAGCGGCCTTCCTTCGTCTTAGCCAGCAGGCCATTGGCCAGGTTGAGTCGTCTGCGAATCGCACGCCTGCCGCTTCCCACCCCCTCGGCGTGGATGGGGACAAATTGCAAAGTGTTGGAGAAATGGCCAAAACCACCACACGCAAGTTTCAAGATTTTCATCTGATCAACTCTGTCCTCCACACCGAGGTGTGTCCAGGTCGTCTCTTTTTTCCCGCCTCCCAGTACCGCAGAACGGTCAGGCCTGGGCTGATAAGGCCAGCTAAGGTGTTTAGCGTGAAAGAGGGCGGTTCAGACGGAGCGGCCAGTCGTCGTCCGCAGATTTTCTGCTCCCCCTCGCCTGTCACCAGCCACACGACTGAAACAGTCAGATGAAAAGAGACGAAGACCAGCCGATGCCTCGCTTATGCATCATGAGAGACGTCAACGTTTGAGAGTGTCGCCAAGCGAGCTCTAGCTCCAATGCTGTTACGGCACAGACGGCGTTGGACAACGGGGGCAGACGACACAAACGGTCGTTCCCTTTGCTACCGCTCGGACGCCAACGTTGCGATGTCACCTAAACGCCAACTGCAACGCCATGCGCTGGAGAAAATGGGGAGACGACGTCGAAAAGAGGACAAGACGACACGCATCCCGACTGTTGAACCCCTGCACCGGAATCTTGACATCCCATCTGCACCCCTTATGCCCCGGACGATCCTAGATCAACTGATCACCATGATCAACCCCTTCGACAGCTGCACGGCGCCGTGCCTTCCAAGACAACCACCGCACCGGGCTCTCAGTCTGCCAGGGCTTCCAGAGCGCACTTGTCAGTGACTAGCCAACTGCCGGCTGGTCCTCTCATTTCGTGCTGTCTTTAATTCCCTCAGAAAAGCCACCGCGCTCTCTGAGCCATGCGACAGTGCATAGCGAAACCGAGCGGTGAGAGACATTGATCGTCGAGGAATAAGAAACTATCAACTCTGAAGTTCTTCTTCAAAGTCTGGTCCGACGTCGTTATTTTCCCACGGCATGCCTTGCCGTGGCCTTGTCTGCAATGCGTTTCCCTTCTCCGCCTGTGCTCCGCACCCCCCAGGACCACGCCGCCAGGGCCAGCATTGAGAACGGCTGTTGCGGCTACGCCCTTGACTGGGTCAACAAGCTCAGAAAGCATGGCAAAGAGCCTCTTGATGTTCGAATGAGGATGAATGAGACAGTCAAGTTTGGTAGAGGCGGAGAGACCCTCGTCCAGGTCTGTGACAACCCTCCCGTTTCAGGTGGCTGGGACTGGGTTGCTGCACACAGCCCTTCTCTGAACTCTTGACAGGCGGGATCGCGGACGCCGGGGCGAACTTTGTGCTGCCCATCACTGGGAGCTCCCGGGCTGTAGCCTTTGACTAACCGCTTTGTAAAGCGACCGAGCTTGACTTTGAGTTTTAGGTGCATTTTGCTCGCGCTTCGCCTTGTAATTGCTTTCTTATTTTCGTGCTATAGAAGCAGCGAGTATGTTTGACTCGGGCACAGCAATTAAAAACCGCCGACCAGCGAAACCGATCGACGAAACTTTGGACGAGGCCAAGTCTAGCTCGTGGATCGCCGGACGCTAACGCAGTGCCGGGTGGGTGTATCTGTGGGGGGAAAGGAAATGGCGAATGGCAGTGAAGGGGACGTCCAGTCGATAAGATGATGGAGGCTCGCACCCCTGCGCCGACGAACGACAAGGACGACAAGGACGACAAGGACGACAAGGACGACGAGACGACGTGAACGGTTGGCGGAAGATGCCGCCCTGGCTCCTACTTCGGCGCTGACTTCCCTTTCCTCCCCAGCGTGGCCTGTATTGGATGCAAGGCGTCTCATGAATCGAGTGTGACGCACGCATGCACAGTCCGTCTCATTGTGCATGGCGTATGGGCCACCCCTTTCGTCCCAACTTGTGCCCCTTGCCAAATTGTATTTTACCGCAAAGCCGGGGAATCCCATTACGTTTCCATGCCGACTCCGAGCGAGCATGGGTGCTGCCAGACCGTCTTTTTGGTGGAGGCGGCCCTGGTCATGAATATCCTCAGAGGGGGGAGTGGCTGGAAGTCCATGATAACTCCGCTTCCAATGGCCTGCCTTCACATGTAGGGGTCACGGGAAGAACGCATTCCGTGAAGGAAAACAGGGGAATATGGGAGGCAATAATACCCTGAATACCGGGGATTCTCGGTTTGGTAACGTGTTTCGAGAATCTCCTGGATGAAAGATCGTCGATAGAGTGTGCAAATCCCCCGAACCCTAAACCGGAAGCAACAGGCCTTTATTCGCAATGATCCGACATATTACGCAGTGCCGGTAAATCATCGAGGATGGCGGTGAGAAACAAAGTATCCCAAGGCCGTGGAGCAACCCGTGGAGCAAAGCAACAGACGGGGGCATGTCTCGTGAAGGATGGAGAGGGAGTCCTGTAGCGACAGTTCCGTTCAACAGACTCTGTCCTAATTTTCAGCCTCCCGCCGTTCGCCTTGTCACCACCTGCCATCAAGGCGTCAAGTTTCGTCTGTATTCTGTCTTCTACGTCAAACTTGACACAGGCTATGCCGTTGCCACTGTCAGGCGGGTTGAACGCGTGGCATCTCATCTTCGCCGGGGAATTTCTAGGCATCGCTTAGGTCGTTTTGGTCTCAAGTTGTTCAGCCTGCCTCGATCTGACAGCCGAGCCTCATGCACTCTGCCACTCATCTGAAAGGAATGTGGGATGGCCAAGCATGTCGAGGTAGCGTTTTCTGGCACAAGACGCATGATACTCTCGACCCCCGTGTGGCTCCGTGATGCTTGTCCCTGAACCATGAACCACCTGGAACGAAGAGCGCGCCAGACACCTGTCAGCCCCGTGTGGGTTCCCGATGCGGGGGACAAAGGTCGGAGGCTGGCTCGTCCGGGCGCAAGAATAGCATCTTGTCTGACGAAAGAATGAGACATCGCCGGGAAGAAGCCCCTGCTGGCATGAAGGATCTGTTGAGGCTCAAAGCTTGGCTTGTTAATCTTCTTTCAATGTCAACGACTGTCATCACTTGACGGGCGGGCCGACTTGTTTCGACTCGTCGCCTCTACGGTGGCGGCGTTTCAACTCTGTAGGTTGCTTGTGTATATATCTTGGCGACATATAGACTATAGTGACAGATGGCGTTTCTTGACAAGGCTGTCTTGACGCCCTGGACTGCCTGTGCTCCGACGAAGTATCTCTCAAGTCATATCTTGTACAGCATCTCTTCCCGAGGGGCGTCTCAATAGCTAGACTGATCGTTCCAGTACAGAGTCTCATGATAAACCCTGCATATGGGTCAGTGTACGCGTGCTATGGTGATCCAGCCAAACCTTCTCGGCTTGATGTGCAGATGAAGCCAGCATATCGCAGGATGGAACGAGCTTAAACAGGATCTTAGCAAGGGAAACTTACTCAGGTCCGGTAGCGTAGAGTGGCCAACCAAGCTTCAAAGTGATGTACTGGATGAGGTGGCTGGCAACCTTGATCTGCCCGACATCCGTGGGGTGCCACTGTGGCGCGATATCGTTGTGCTGCAAGATGCCGGTTGTGTTGAAGAAGTGCACAAATGGCTTGGCTGGTTTGCCTGTGGTAGATGTCGTATTGTTGATGGCATCCCAAGTGATCGGGTCACTGAGATACTCCTCCGTGTTGAAGTACTCATACACGCTGTACACTTCGTCTCTCAGATCCGTGTTTTGGCCGTAGGTATTTCCATCTTGGAAAAAGCCTTGCCACATTTGCTGGCCAAGTCAGCTTGAGGGCCATATTGAGGTGAGACTTGTTCACACCATGATGATGACCTGTGCTTCGGGCCACTTCCCATGAACGCCCTGGATGAGTTTTTTATAACTCTCCACGTAGGTAGACTTGGTGACATTGTTCGCGGCGTTGGCATCGTTGGTTCCAAGGTTGATGACGACGAGATCTGCAGCTGGGTTCCTGGAAAAGTCCCAAGGCTCAGGGTTGTCTACATTCGTCTTGGTCAGTTGTGTGATTCTTGACAATAACCCAAGTTGAGAATCGGGAGGGAATCTCGGACTCGAGGCGGCAAAGGCTATTTGATGCCCAGGCGTAAAGGCATAACACATACCTCCCCATACCTCGGCTGCCCTCCCACCAGTGTCAGATGTGTAGAACCATTGATGGGACTGCCCTCGAGGATTTCCCCAGCAATCTTGATCAGACACACAGATGCCTGGATACGCTGTGATTGAGTACTCAGTGTTTCCGAGACCTGCACCGACGCCATACGCAAAGCCCGCCAGAGCTTCATACGTGTTGTACATGCCTGCCGATAGACTGTCGCCAATGAATTCGACCCGACGTGGGTAGTCTGGAATCTTGACAAGCTTCTCGCCGGCAGCCACATGAACCTTGTCAATCTGTACTCCATATGCCCAGTTTGTCACTCTCATCTCGAAAGTAACGGGGCTGATGGGACCTGTGAGTTCAACTCCCGGCGTCTCGGGGCTCACAAAAAGATGCGTGGCGTCCGCCGTGACATTGGTGTGCATCCAGTCTAACCCAGCAATTCTGTAGGCAACCAGAGTGCTGTTGATCGTCTCGTTGCCGAAAGTGACAGCGACGCTCTGACCTGTGAAGCCAAACTTGATGCCTGGACCGCTGCGACATATTAGATACTCAAGAGTTTCTGTACTTTGGGGAGAGCAGACTCACGCCCACCAAGATATCATCTTGGAGTCCCAGCGGCCCTTGTAGGAGATTTCTTCCGCGTCGGCATTGTAAGTCTCATACTGGCCGTCTGCTAAGTTCACTTTGGTATCCGGGAAATCAGTGATTCTTGGACGGCCATTCTCAAGGATAGTTGCTGTCACGGCAGATGCGCAAAGCATGAGTGTCGCTAGTGATGGAACGAACATCATAGCCACAGGTGCCTCTCAGTCAATCGACTGGAGTTGTAGAACGAGTATCAGCTGCCTCAATCAACGCAAAGGCCATGATGAGCGCAATTGACACTTCTTATATGAATGCGCGGCCTGCAGCTATGCCTAGTTGATGTTGGCCCCTCATTGCGATATCGACTGGAGATCCGGGACGGCATAATAAGGACCGAGATGAGCGGGAAATCCGTCACTTTGGCCCAAGACTTGTTGGGGTGCATGCAGAGAGTATTCCGGCTATTCGGATCGCGAACCGCTTCCGATAGCTGATCTATTTTTGAGGGCAAACAGCGAACCGTCGCCAAAGTTGCTGAGGGATGAACACGCTAGAGGTTTTCTTAAAGTGCACCAAGTTGCTCTCTTCAAGCATTTTGACAAGACGCTTCTTGTTCTGAGCAGGTCGAAACCAAACAATACGAAACAAAAGAACCACGGCTTCGGTAACCAACAGCTGGCGAGCCTCAGTCAGCTGGGGTTGTCGGATTCGCGATTCGGCTCATCGCTAGAGATATCCGGCGGAAGGAGACACTCCGTGCCCAATTGGTGCGAGCATGTGATCTGCAAGGTGTGATGTAATGTGGGCCGTCGGCGCAGGCGATCTCCTGCTGAGAGGGACGTGGATTCCGGGGGAACATGTGCGCCAGTCCGGACCGGCCGCACGGGGCGGGGCTTTGGGGGCACTGAAGGACGGCAGAGCCGTTGGGTTGTATTGAAGCTAGACGGGTTCACCTCTGGGGAAGTCGGCACTTTTTAGCGACAGGGACCTATGTGCCAAAGCCGTAGCGTCCGGTCTCCCTCAGGCAACGTGGTGGGTTGGCCGGGACACATGGTCATCGGCCTTGTTTTGTGTGCGCTCATCGGATGGATGTGCAGACGCGCGCGTAATGTGAAAAGCCAACCTTTCCTGGGCTGGACGTCACAGAAAATCCAGGAGAGAATCAACAGACGAGGGCGGCTAGCAGCAGCGATCGTCGAGATCGAGGCTGACGCCTACGAAGCGCTGAACAAGGGGGAGGGGGCTCCCCAGAAGCCCAGAAGCAAGCGCCCTGCAAGGTCCGATGTGATGTGCATACGGGATCTCAATGATTGCAGCAATCAATCTGGCTGCCCGCGTCCTCTGCATATGATGAGGTACGGGATCGCACATTTAAGCAGCATTTGACCTGCAACCGTAATGCAAGGTCGTGCGTTTCAATTGGCGCTCGTCGTCGGGCAAGATTGCCTTTTTCTGCATGTTCTCCTGGCATGGCTTGTTAGCACTCGACCGACTGCTGCTGAGAAGAAAGGTCCTACCAACACCAACACGAACCACCGTCAGGCCACGGAGAGAGCTGATTGTCGAGCTGGTGCCGAGGTGAGGTGTCTGAGCCATGTGTGTGGTGTTTTGAATATTCCGCAGACCGGTAGTATCAAGTAAGGTAGGACGCCGGTGAAGTAGAAAAATCAGGTGTTCAGCCAGCAAACACGCTACAAGCAGGCGGCGTCGAGTTCGGCGACGCCTGGCGGTAGCAGGCCGTGTTCCCCGGAGGGCCGGTTGGAGGATGGAATGAAGCTATCATCCCTGCGGCAAGCTTGCCCAGCGTGACGGGTCTCAGGGAGGGCACTGGCCGCCTGGGTATCCCCACGGAAAAGGAACAGATCCCTTTGGACAGCTCGGTTGCCGTGGCTCGTGGTTCCAAGGTTTCGAGACGAACAGACCGGCAAGTTGCAGTCGTTCCTTGATGCTCCATCAAGGTCCATGTCTCTCTTCGCAGGCGAGGTTGCGAGGTTGGGATGGGGGATTGCGGCCGAAATGAAGAAACGGTGTGAGCCAGTTCAATTTCGGGGAACTCAGAAGATGCCACCCGGTGTTCAGCGCAGCGCAGCATCGGGGACGCGCACAAGGTAAGAAGAAGAGGTTCGGCCGAGGGACATGCGTCAGGAAGAAGATTGCCTTGAAAGGTTGGTGGTTTGATAGAGGAAGGCAGGTACGAAGCAAGGTACCTACCTACCTTCCTTACCTACCCTACCTTACCTTACCTACCTAGGGAAAGAAAGCATCAGGTGCGCCTTCCTTCCTCCCGGGCACTTGGAATTCTGGCAAGCGCGACCCCATCGTCACACCGAGCTGCATGGGCCCAGACACCACCTACCTTCCTACCTCACATTCGTTGCTCTTGCTTCCTGCCTCCTTCCGTGTAAGAAGGCGCCAACGACGGGGCCGACCTCCCGGTGTAGCTTCCTTGACCGTGTCCTCACCTTAAATATCGTCCCTGCCTCTTTTGCCTCTTCGCATCCAAGGCGACCTACCGTACGTACCTGGGGCCCTTTGGTTCTTCTACACGACTCCTCCCGACTTTGGTTGCCTCTTTGTCTCTCGCCGCCATCATCGTCCTCTCTGACTGCTGCTTCTCACGTCACCTCACCAACTAATTACCCGACAACCCCTCATTTCCTTCGAACCATCCGCAACCGAGGTGTTCGTAGTGTGCGTGGTGTCTCAGTTGCAAGATAGCGCAACGATTCCCTCCCACCAGCATCCATCACACCCACCGAAATCCCATCATCACGAGCGCCGTCAATCGCCATCCAGATAGGAAGGCCAATAATCTCTCAATACCACCACGGCGGAATCCCGGCGCTTGTCTCGAATTAACAACAGCCCCGAGGGCTGCCACACTGTTCCTGTTTCCCTCTGCACACCATCTGCATCTCGAATCATTCTCCCGCATCCATTGCGCGACTTGATGCTGCTGGAGACTCGAGACACTGGAAACCTCAACCAACAACTCCCTGTCCTGCTCTCATTGCCGGCTCAATTCCCGTCTCGTCTTCGCCATTATTAATGGCTAATCACCCAAGACAAGCCCTACAGCCACCTCGCATCAAGTTTGCTTTTTGCGCCGCTGCAGCATTACATCGTCGCCGTCACTAGCAGTTGCGGCGTCCCAGGACGTGGGAGATCGCCTGTCAGCTGATACCGAGCTTCCTCCATTGCGCAAAGGAAAAAAAAGAAACCACACCCGCAACCAAGACATCCAACAAGTCCTCGCTTCTTCCAATTCCCGTGCCGTCATCAGGGACCGTCTTTCCTTCTGTCCCTTGCGCGCCGACGCTTTTGCGCTCTTTTCCCCCCAACAGGTCAAAGCGGCCGAGACCTGGCCCGGGCCTGAGTTTGGGTCACCAAAGTCGGGACCTGTGCGGGTAGTAGAGCATCGCGGTGTTAGAGCGTGCGAAGTCACCGGTTGTGTATCACCAAAAAAAGGTCCCTGACTTTCAAGCACTGTCTCTCGGGCTCCCTCCTCCTCTTCTCTTGCCCTAAAACCCCCCTCCTCGAATTCTATTCCAAGACAAACCCTCTTGTCTGCGACTCTTGGCTACGATCATCTCTGTCTTGCGAAATCCTCCAGCCTTTCGCGCTTTCGCAAAGCACTCGGTGCCAGCACGACGACGAGCCTATCGATCCTCCTCACCCTTCCCGGGCTCGAACTCCGACCTCCGACCTCCAGCAATGCTCTCTGTCGCCTCCTCGAGATCATGACTTTGTGCGCGCTGAAATCGCCCAAACAAAGGCCGCTACGTTTCTCTGCTCCAAGTAAGAGCACATGCTATTCGTCGCATCCGCAACCGCAGCTGCAGCTCTCTCTTCCGCCCCCGACTGTCGTCGACCCCCTCCTCTCCCTCGAACCCCACCTCCGACAGGGACAAGACTCCGAATTTCATCGACGCCGCTGTAGTAGCGCTGGGGAAGGAAGTTCCATCAACCATACCCGTCCCACACCGAGGCGCATCACCCACGAACGCTAGTCGAGCAACCGACCAACTGCGCACGGTGCGCTGCACCGAGCCATGTCGACTACCCATACGAACGCGGTGCCGGACTCGCAATTGGGGTTAAGCTATGAAGAGGTTCAATTACTGCGCCAAGGCCAGGCCGCGCTGGGCCAGGGAGCTGGAGGGGGCGGTTCGAATTCGTCCCGCGCGGCGAGCCGAGCTTCATCCCAAGGCTTGCTGCTGCTGGACAGCACCTCTTTAGCAGCGCTAGGACGGTATTTTGACCGCGTCATGAACCAAATCGAACAGCAAATCATCTACCTCAGCGAACAAAGCCAAATGTTCACCATGGCTCAGTTCGACCGAGCAGGCAACCTAATCGAAGGCGCCGACGCCGAAATACAGCGTTACCACGAAATCCTCCGGCAACTCGACGAACTCGAGCTCGACTTCGATCGAATAAGACACATCAAGGAGATTGTGAGGGGATACAGATCCAGAGTTGAAGAGATGGAGCGTGAACTTGAACGAAGTAGTGCCTCGTCTTCACGGCACAGGGAGGGGCACCACCATTCCTCCCACCGACACGGTCACTCCCACCGCCATGGCCATGAAAGCTCCCGCAGACACAGGCATTGAGTTGCTTGGCAAGCTGCGTACCTGCAGGCTTGATGGCTCACGATTTCAGCTGGCAGGAAGCTTACTATATGGACGTCCTTACACTGTGCATGGGGAAAAGTCGTCTGAGGATGTCTCATATTTATGTTGGGGGTAAAATATTGGTCACACGGCCGCCATAAAATCACAAAAGGTCAAAAGGCCCCTCGTCCCAAGCGGGAACACACAGCACCGCGGGAGCAGGCGCCTGAGCCACACTGATGGCGGGGCTTTCGTGTACTCTGGGTTGTGCGAAAAGACTACATCAATGATCAAGACGAAGGGCCTCGCGGCTGGATAAGATGGAATAGCCTCACGGCTCGTTGGTTTACTTTCATGGCGTTGAATTTTCTTTCCTTGTCAAGCCTCTATGTTTCGGCGGTTCATGACGACGTTTTCATCAACAACTCGGTTCTTCAAAGCTGGAAAAATACCCATCTTCCTTTGTATTGCGAAAAACAAAACTCAAGCCTCACGGCAATGTAACATGTTTCGATTCTGTTTCGATGGCAAGGCCAGCTTGCCGCTACCTAAGATGACGA